ATAAAGATGAAAAAGATTCTCAATTTGCAGTTACAGATTAGTTTCTACTGAGATAATGAGTTGAGAAAAAGTAGTTTATCATCTTCTCAGAGAATATTTGGCACCAGCCATCAATAATCACAAAAAATGTTTACCATCTTATTTCATATAGTCTTAGTGATTGTAATCTTACAGAATTCTCAAGTTTGTGTATCTGTGGAACTGTCATCACTTATCTAGATACATTAACATGCGACTGGTTGATACTCCTCACGGTTATCGGATGTCAGATTGTGATCAATCTTCATCGTCAGCATTATTGTTTTAAACAACAAATCACGTTCTGTGTATAATAATCTCACCGACAAGCTTCGATTAACACAATTCAAGTCTCATCCAGGATATGTCAGTCTCATGTACGAGCGCTTAACCACTAGACCTGTGAGCCGACCAACATCCAACAATGTCAATGTCTAACTGCAAACAATCCACGAGATTGAGTGATGTAATCACCATTGATTGATCACTGGGTGGTGATCAATGTCATGCGTGTCTAGTGCTTATTAGTGCGGATCGAATGCTATCGATCATGTAGCAATGTGGTCACCAGTCTAGGTGGCTCGACACTGCGAGCACTATATATTGAGATTTAGATGATGGTTGGAGGTAATCAACAGGAAACCCTGGACCCGGGTTTCGTGCAACTTGGCACTCGTCAGCAAGGTGTACCTGTAATCTCGAAGGAACTGGTGCTCCCTGGCGGATTCGATCTCGTGTCACCCAGCTTAACAGTCAGAGACGTTACCACTGAGCTATCCGAGCCGTGACTGACCTCCTGTAGGACTGAGATGTAATCACGATCGATTGATCATTGAGTGGTGATCAATGTCATGCGTGTCAAGACCATCTTAGTGCAGATCGAATCCTGTCCTAATGACAATGGTCTTTGAGAACGCCTAAAAGCAATCACAAACAATTATGAAATCGGTTAAGAAACAAGTCGATTTTGCATATGAGCAGTCAGCAAAACTTATCAAAGTATTGCTGAACCATCCACGATATCAATAGCGAGCCTCCAGTCTCATATATGGCGTTCAGCGATAATAATTGAGCTAGTCAACTAGTCAAATGTAAACAGTATAATAACTAGCATTAATCCATTTCGATCTATTAGGTCACATATTCTACTAGCAAAATGAGAGCTCATTTGAACAAGATACGAATCACATATTACACAGCGATAAAAAAATGCGAAAGGAATGCTGAATATAGGTAATATGTGCATGATACTGAAAGAGTGGATGAAATTTAAGAAAACTTATATTGAGTCAATTTGATTTACATTAGTGGGCTTCAACATACACAAAGGAAAAACCAAGATTCTCAAATACAACATCGAACTCAAAACAACTGTCATGCAATATCAAACTAACAATCTATAATATGAACTTCAAGATAGTTCTACTGTACAGAGCTGAAACGTGGAGGACTACTTCAACCATCATTAAGAAGGTACGAGTATTTATAAACAATAGTCTACGTGAGATACTGAACATCTATGGGCCGTATAATATCAGCAACAGCCTACTGTGAGACAGAACAAACCAACTTCCTACTGAAGGGGAAAACAAGGAAAGGGCAATGTAAGTGGATACAACGTACATTACGGAAAGCATCAAACGGTATCACGAGACAAGCGCTAACTTGGAATGCTGAAGGGAAGCGAAAAGGAGTAAGGTCAAAGAACATTAAACGTCTGGAAACAGAAGCCGATATGAAACGGATGAACGATAACCGGATAGAGCTGGAAAGGATCCCCCTGAGCAGGGTAGGATGGAGAATGATGATGTTCAGCCTATGCTCCTACACGAGGAGTAACAGACGCAAGTAAGTAAACAAGTAATTTGATCTAATCATTTATTATTAACAAATATAATGAAACACATTCACATACTATCATCGAATTCTTCATTAATCTTCTCAATTCCAAACAATCCTGCATGCGGAATCGTAGTTTCATTATACTTACGAGTCTTATACTGTGATGAAACGGCTGTCAACTGCTTCCACGAATTTAAAGGTGGTCTGACATTAGTTGGCTTATGAATCTAACTACTAAATCAGTACAATCCACAAGACATTGTTACTTTCGACTAATGAAACATACTACTTATATCTGGAGACATCAGTAGCACACACTGCAACATGATTCATTAAGGTTTTAAGTAAAACGAATCACAAATTTAGTTTAAAAATCCAAATTTCATTTTTGAATTTTTTCTTTTCAACATTGTTTCAGACAAATGCCAATCGTTGTGACACAAAATAAACTCAAATCAAACATCACAATTATATCTTTGTAACACTAAAGTAATCTGAATCAGTTTATAAGAATAATACAAAATGAGTAACAGATTACGCGGTAATACAGTTGTATGACAGCCGGTTCATTAGTTTAGAGGTAGAGCACTCAGGCATGAAACATATAGGTCTTTGATTTGATACTCATGAGTGAGATCGTGGATTCGCATTGCTGAGGAGTCCTATACTGAGACGAAATGACCATCCAGTGAATCCAAATATTCTATAGGTCGTGAAGAAATAGCATCAAGTTACTGATCTATGGTTGGTGTTAGATTATTTAACATTTACTTTAAACAAGGCTAATTCATCTGAATGAAATAAGATTCATAAACATAGAAGAATAATAAGAATAAAGGCTTGTGGAGATTGTATTAATTTCAATAGTTCAATTCATGAGTCAATGTAAGCTGGACCACCATTGAAAACCTAGAAGCACTAAACGGTTGATTCGTTGTAGTATCGGATCCCTCATTAGTGCATATTCAAGATCTCTTCTCGATGTTATATAGAACTATCATTGTTCATCTTGTGCGGACTGCTCCGATATTGCCTTGTGTCACAGGCTTTATAAACAAACAATTAGTGGAAACCACGACAAGCGTTTTGTCCTATTTGAGACCAGTCAGCTGGATATACCTACATCTCAGTGTTGATGTCCACTCTAGTACTCCGACATACTATTCGGTTTATAAAGAAACTAAACAGATCACATTGAATATTGAATAAGAGAACTTAATGAATTATTACACGTCATGCATTGTGATATTCGTTGATTGTTATTTAATAAAATGATCTTATTAGGTAACGAATACATAGAATAACACACATTGAAGTGATTGAGTGAAGTGAGTGAATGAGTGAGTAATTGAGTGTGCAAGTAATTGTGTGAAAGAGTGAGTACTTGAGTGTGCGAGTGAGTGAACGAGTGAGTAAATAACCCAACATATGTACCACATAAACTGATCGATTTGTGCGTGAGCTGTGCTATTAACCGGGTACACAGAATGAAGTGAGTGGTTTTCTTAGTGTGTTACACCCAGAGCCTATGACTTAAAGGACTAATCCATGAGGCCGTAGAGTAAGGTGATGAGATGCAGTTCCATGGTAGCCGGTGATCAGCAATCGGTTCATACGTTATTTGTTCCATCAGGATACTGGAGCCCATATGCATCACTGGTTTGGAATGACGGTTAACCAACTCCGCTGAGTGTATCTTCCAAATCCAGCAAACTGGTTTAAGTACCGGACATTCGCTTTTCGATCTTCTTAATAATGTAAACAACAGTAATGCTACGAGAAAACAGACAGTAGGATTTCTCTGGCACTGCCTCCCTACGCATGGCTATGTGAGAGAATTTGTAGAGCGAGAGATAACGTTTTCCATACTCGAGTTCGCTTTTCCCCTTCTCGATTTCGTAAACAACAGTAATGCTACGAGAAGGTAATGAGTAAGACTTCACTGTCAGTGGTTGTGTGCACATGGTCATGTGAGAGTATTTGAGTGGGAGAGCGGACTCTACCCACTCTCGACCGTACAAGGGCATTTGGGAGCAAGAACAAATACCGTTAGAAGATTTTTGGCTAATCCGTTATTAAGAAAACAATGATCTGTTTCGATTCTCTACTGTCTTTCTGAAGTCGTTTCTTTAATGAATTTTCTTTATTTATATTTTGTTTACGCAATACCTTACTATTATATATAGACGTTTTTAGACTATTTATTACAATGTTATAAGTAGTTGAAAAATCCTGTTGTAGTTTTATTTTTCAAATCATCAATGTAACTTTAAATGGAAACTGAGTAAACAAACCCTTTATTTGTGTACACATACATTGTTATGCGCTTTCGATATTTGCAGGCGTTCTGCACCATGGGATTCGAAATTAGTATTGTTCGCGTTATCCACTTAGCTACTGAGCGCTGAAAGCCACATGCTTGTGCAATGGTATTAAGTTTCAATTCACTTGGTATTGCCTCGATATTATCTTAGTACATAAGCATTCAAAGAACAGATAGTAAGTGACTAGTAGTGAAATCCACGACACAGGTTAATCAGTTCAACTGGTATGATATTTATTATCATTTACTGACATTTTCCAACGACCATGACTCATGTGTTCTGAATGCCACTGATAATTACCGTTGGATGCCGGCTCAGTAGTCTAAAGGTTCAGCGTTTGCATACGAGACAGATATGTCCTGAGTTCAAATCTCGTGAGGTGGTGTAGTGTATGCGCGCTGCTGAGGAGTCCCATGATAGGATGAAAAGGCAGTCCAGTGCCGCCAGGTGGTCTAACTTCAAATGACTCCACAAAACTTCTCTCCGATCATAGTTTATTTATTTTTGAAATCTTTTGACAAAACAGAAATATTAAAGCAATCGACACAAGAGAATAAACCATTACGATTCAAATTATCATTATATGCTTGTTAAGTTTGTTTCACATTGTTCCTACATGTTCCTTTTCTACTCTTTTGTATGTTGTTTTATACTACTTATTTACATTCAGTAGGCAGCTGTATACCCAACAATTTCCACACTTATGTTGTAACTCAAGTTGTACTATAACATTCTGGAATGTTCACATATATCTTTAATGTTTATTTTACTTATAATTGTATTTATCATTATAATCACTGTAATTTAATTACTGTAAAGGTTATCCACAGTTTATGCATTTGTTTGAATGCAACAGTTTCCATATTGTTTGCTCTTGGTTCGAGTTTCGGTTGTTCATAAACTGTTACCAAATCTAGACACAGCTATCGGCTGTCTTTGGACTATCGTATGTTGTAATCATTCTTTATGTTACTCTTACAGGAAGCTTTTGCTATTTTCATTTTTGAACGACGCGTTTAAACGCCTAGACACCTCACAAGTTGAGGTTTGTAACTAAATTTTGTGTATTATTTAATAAAGAACCGCTTTTGTAGACAAATCGTTGTTTTGGAACTTCGATTTCGCGCGTATCTCAATCGGGGTTACTTCGACGCTTCGATAGAATTAACAGTTCTCAACTTTGGTCTCATTTGGTCTGGATACAGTTCTGAACTTTGGTCCTAATTGGAGGGAACACTTGCTGTAACGAAATTTGGTCGGAATTCTGTTTGGTTCATTCATCCCAACGATGACTAGAACAAAAAGAATGAAGTACAACGATGACAGTTCCCAAGACACAGACAATTCCAGTGCTGAAAATATTCCTTCACTTTCTAAGGTGAATCCATCTATTCCTTTATATCTTGCCTTTGATATTGTTAAACCTAACCCCAAAGACAGTTGCTCGGTAGGAGACAACTATGTAGACACTAGATACAGCGTAGAAGAAGTGGTTTCTAGGGAAAGGGAAGTAGAAAAGATTAAGCTGGAGATTAGAGAACTCCAACTACGCAGGCGATTGTTAGAGCTAACTCCGAACTTTTCAAACAAAGTGAGAAGACCTAGAAAGACTACCGAGTTGTCGGGGTCTCGATCTGAGGATAAAACTTCAGTAGTTACAGCAAGTCACCGATACACCAATGTACCTTCGAGCGATGAAATGCAATTCAAAGCACAGGTAGATAGCGTCAAAGCGCTATGTATGTCAGTAGGCTTACCGAAGATAGAAATCACGAAATTTGACGGGAGCCCTCTGAAATTTTGGACGTTCCTGAAGGGATTCAAGGTTAACATAGCTGACAGAGTAAATGATGACACTCAGAAATTAATGTACCTGATACACTATTGCGAAGGTATAGCAAAGGATGCTATAGAACACTGCGTTTTATTACCAGAAAAGGAAGGTTATACTGAGGCAATTAAAATTCTACATGAACGGTTCGGCAGACCACATGACATCGTGGATACCTATGCATTGTTAGATAATGGCTCAGACTCGACATTACTGCTTAGTGACGTGGCAAAGCAGGTAGGAATTTCTGGTACAGTGACAAAATTAAACATATCTTCGGTAATTGGAGCGTCATCTCAGAACGCTGAACTTACCAATTTCGAAATTGAGTCTTTAGATAAGACCAACCGAATAAAAATCGAAGGTGCATATACTATAAATAACCTACCTATTAAAAGAGCAGAAATCCCACCAACGGACTTCCAAGAAAGATGGAAACACTTGAAAGGTGTACAACTACCCACCATAGCCTGTGACAAGGTTGGTTTGTTACTTGGTGTTGACGTTCCAGAGGCCCACTGGGTACTCGATCAGCGTATCGGAAAACCTAAACAACCCTATGCTTCACTAACCATGTTAGGGTGGGCTTTATTTGGACCAACGGGTCAACCTAATAAAACTTCAGTCTTCATGAACTGTTTAAAAGCGAAAAATTCCTTTGAGGAGGATATTCTCAAATTATTTGAACATGAATTTTCTGAAAATAAGTACTCTGATAAGGTTACCATGCCCCTATGTGATAAGACCATTATGGAGATTACTGACAAACAAACAGTATTGCTCGATGGACATTATCAAGTGCCGATACCCTGGAAGGTGGATTGGCACTCACTTCCAAGGAATAACAGCGAAATAGAAAAACGATTAATTTACCTACGTAAAACGTTGCTGAAAGACGAACAGCTTCGGAAACAGTATACTATTATATTAGCTACCCACGAAAGTAAAGGATATTTGTCTCGAGTAACTCAAGCTATCGAAGAAGAAAGGTATTTGATTCCACATCATCCCGTATTTAACCCTAAAAAACCAGGTAAAGTTCGGATAGTCTTTGATTGTGCTGCTAAGTTACAAAACAAGTCTCTAAATGATTGTATATATTCTGAACCAGATCTTACAAACGACCTAGTGGGAGTTTTGCTTAGATTCAGAAAGCATAAGATTGGATTGTCAGCAGACATTGAAGAAATGTTCCTCCAGGTACATCTACCCGAAAGGGATACAAAGGCCTTCAGCTTTATATGGTATCCCGATGGCAATCTTGATTCTCCTCCTGAGGTCTATGAGTTCCATGTACACCCCTTCGGGGCTACGTCCTCGCCGTTTTGCGCTACCTATGCTTTAAGACGTACAGCTACAGACCACCGAGATTTGTTTGATGAAAAAACCCAGTCCATCTTACGAGAAAATTTTTATGTAGACGATTGTCTAGTCTCAGTAGAAACAATACCAGAAGCTGCCGAGTTAGCAAATAACCTGATAAGACTCGTTGCGCTTGGAGGTTTTCGTTTACATAAATGGGTTAGTAACGTAAATGAAGCGCTGAATGACGTCCCTATAGGTGATAGATCAAACAATTTGGTTCGTATACCAGGTTCAACAGAACGTATACAGAAAACTTTAGGACTTTATTGGCACACGCAATTCGATTGTTTTGCATTTGACGTAAATCTTCCCGAACGCCCGATCACTAAGAGAGGCATTCTGTCATGTGCATCATCGTTATATGACCCGCTTGGATTTCTAGCGCCTTTATCACTTACCCCTAAACGAATTCTGCAACAGCTATGTCGTAAAAACTATGGGTGGGATGAGATGATAGACGAAGAGTCACGATTGAGTTGGGAAGGTTGTTTAGAAGCAAAGAGTTCTATCGAGGACGGACCCACGCCACCCTCTTCTTTGACCACAGTAGCGCCTGAAAACTCTTCAAATCGTTTGTTGCCGTTCATAGATGATCCTGGTTTATGCCTTAAACACTCTCCTGATGTGGCACTCTTAGTCGATGATGATGATGATGATGTACGCTCACTCATAGTAGCAGCAACCGCTGTTAAGACTGAAGATTCCAGGGTTCATCAAGGTTTACCGTCAGTTCGTTCTTCTGGATTTGACACTCCACCTGATTCAAGAAGTAACCGACTTATAGACACCTTTGACTCTGTATCTAAAGCGACAGACGAGAATCTAATGGATTTAGAACAAGTTATTTCATCACCAGCTGTTGACGATGAGTACCTTCTAAAAACTGTCAACGATAGTCACGTCGATACAGTAGTGAATATTGACCTTAGATATATTTCTCCTCCAGACAAAATTCTTCCAACAGATAGCGGCGAGTTAATGTCATCGAAAACATCTGTTAGGTTCTCTGCCGAAACAGATCTCCCTAGTGTTTCTGACGTGAACGATAGTGCTAAATCTGTAATAGTACTACACGAGTCATCAATTAGTTGCAAAGCAACAACTCAGTTCTCTGCAAATACGAAACTTGTATCTCCTGTAGTGGCGTCTGCTGAGAGTTCTATTGACATCGAGCGTGAAACAGAGAATCAGAAAGATGATTGTTTTATTCAGTTTGCTGATGATGATAAGAAGTTTAAGACAACTGTATCCATGTCTCCTTTAGTTGGGTTAGACAAGCAGATACAACATCCATTACCAGACTTTAAGGATAGTAGAGTAGCCGAAGAAATGACTCATCGGAACATAGAATGGCACCATAACACTCCTTACGCAAATCATCATCGAGTATGGGAAAGATTAATAGGAAGCATACGCAGACCTTTGAGTGCAGTATCTATGTCCTACGAGACACTCACTACCTGTTTGACTGAAGCAGGAAGAATACCTAATGATAGACCACTCTTACAGACGCAACCAAAATGGACACAGGGAAGACAAGATTTACAAGTTCGCGATTCAGTCTTGATTATTGAGGACACTTATGCACGAAATAACTGGTCTAAAGGCCTCGTGGTAAGTTTTGACCCAGGAGGAGATAGTCTATGGAACCAAGCGAAGATCAGAACGTGGAAGGGTACAATTATTAGAGGCATATGTAAAATTTGTTTATTAGAAGGAGCTGATGACCGAAAAGTAGGGGATAGAGAGACTTTTCAGAGTGACTGTGGCTAGAGCAAATCGTACCATTGTCACTTTTGAATGTTTTTACGTTAATACCTAATCAGCGAAAGTAAGGAAAGACATGCTGTCTTTGGGGGGCGGTGTTAAGTTTGTTTCACATTGTTCCTACATGTTCCTTTTCTACTCTTTTGTATGTTGTTTTATACTACTTATTTACATTCAGTAGGCAGCTGTATACCCAACAATTTCCAAACTTATGTTGTAACTCAAGTTGTACTATAACATTCTGGAATGTTCACATATATCTTTAATGTTTATTTTACTTATAATTGTATTTATCATTATAATCACTGTAATTTAATTACTGTAAAGGTTATCCACAGTTTATGCATTTGTTTGAATGCAACAGTTTCCATATTGTTTGCTCTTGGTTCGAGTTTCGGTTGTTCATAAACTGTTACCAAATCTAGACACAGCTATCGGCTGTCTTTGGACTATCGTATGTTGTAATCATTCTTTATGTTACTCTTACAGGAAGCTTTTGCTATTTTCATTTTTGAACGACGCGTTTAAACGCCTAGACACCTCACAAGTTGAGGTTTGTAACTAAATTTTGTGTATTATTTAATAAAGAACCGCTTTTGTAGACAAATCGTTGTTTTGGAACTTCGATTTCGCGCGTATCTCAATCGGGGTTACTTCGACGCTTCGATAGAATTAACAATGCTTATTATAACATTATTGCGTATATCATGAACGAAAGTGGAATTATTAATCTTGGTCGTGCTGTCATTAAATTGTGACATTTACGCAATCATATCACCCACCGAACAAATTATCATTTTATGAAAATTCCACACCACGTAATGACGTCCAGAACTCATTGGGATATTTTTACTATTCAAAACGTGAAAGTTTCCTGCTTTAAGTGAGTTCACTCAAATTTTTCCAATGTCATTTTGACCTAATATTACATTCATTCACTTAGTCGAGGTCCGCAATTTATGTTATCACAACATACATTTTTCATTTCGAAATCGCCTCCCATTATGTCTATGGATGCATCTAACTAGCTAATTAGTAACCATTACGTTCATTTTATCTATTCTTCCACGTGCATAACTAAATTCTGCATCACTTATCACTCGAAAACGCTATTCGAGTACTGCAACTACTATTCTATATACATCGCACTGTATATCAGAACATAGAGTTTAGAGCTGGTCTCTCAAAGATACACTCTTGTTCGTCACATCCAAGTTAGTCTCATACGTCACCATCGCTAATCATATGTATTGGTATTTCTGTCATGCCTTGGTACGGTTTTGTAACAAACGAGGTTGAGCGCATCTCCATTGAAGCGCACAAACCACTCTGGGCTTCACGACCGAAAAGGAATACGCCTTGACGTACCTCGTCTACTCAGTCACTATTCTGTTCCTCTGGTCGTTCTACTAATACATATTTAACGATAACTCAATGCATCTGACATAACGCAAACGACAACGTTCACTGACTTCACATTTTATGATTACTATCAATTGCAGTACAGCAACGAATATCACCCATCGATACAGTCATCATTTCATTACTTCACTATTATTATCCTACGAACGGGAACTACGCATTTAAATTCGAATTCACTCATCGCTAGTCGATGCTATTTATTCTACTGCGGCTCATCAGAACATATATTTAACATGTTTCACTATCCTGCCGACATCACAGACTAATTTCTGTCGTATCCTACTCTACTTATCTTCATGATTTGTTTCGCTGTCATACCCACAAACAATTTATTATTATTTTCACGATATTTTGAATCACTCATACAAACGTGTTATTTTATTGTTCAGACAGTCATAGCATTAGTACATGTTAATTTTTTGTACGCTCATTAATTTGCTCATATTCGCATGCTAACGTTTCCATTTTTGTCTGCGTCTTTGCGATATTCATGTATTCTTCACATATAATACACTAACCCCTCATGTGACACTGTACTTTATCGAGTGTTGTACAATTTTTTTCGTTACTTGCTGTTAACGTTAACTTCATATCACTTCAGTGTTATTTTCGAAAACAGACATTCTTTAAATGTGCAATTTTCTACAAGGGCGCTATGTAGTGTCAGTTATAATGTTAAGCCCATATACCTTATTCTAGCTTTCGGACATCCCATTCTATTCATTCTACTTGAGTCATATGTTGACTTTGTTAGTTATTCGCTTATCAATCTAGACTGATTTTTTATATGAGCGCATATGTGTGTGCTCTTCTTATCCCATTAATCACATGTCTGTAGTTTATTTTGTCTGACTATAAATATTGAGTCTCGTTTCATCAAAATCGGAGTTGGCTTCCCAGCCATCTTCCCTTCGTGTCATTTTGCTTTGTTCTGTTTCATTCGCTTCATATACAAGATATATGTATTCACAAATCAATTCTCGTTATTCGACTTATCTAATTCCGTTATTGACTGACGCGATTTAAGTCGACGATTATATACGAGAATAGGCGATAACAATCATTCGTACGATTTAGGAGTCAGATCCACGGGCTACTAAAATGGTGAGCCCTTCCGCCAACATCGTTCGATCTAAACGACGACAAAACTACGGGCCTCCACTAAAATCTACAAACCTGTTGTTCATTTGGTAATCATACGATTACTTATGACTAATCTTGCCTGTATGTATGAATGTATGTTTGTATGTGTGTGTGTATCTATGTAGGTATGTAGGTATGTGATGAATACATAACTTTGTCCTGTTTACGAATATTTGAACTCACTATTATCATCATATTCATTTAACTCTTATTTGTTCATTCAATATCCTGTTTGTTACCATGGTATATGAATCAATTCCATTCTGTTATGGCTACAATCATCATCATCATTATCCCATAATGCTTACGTAACTCTTAGTTGATAATAAATATACCTGTACAACGAATAACAAAAACACAGACACACACACACACAAACACATAACAAACATATTTGAAAAGTGTTTCAATGTTGACTATAAACGTTCTCAATAATGAATTCATATATTTTCATAGTAAAAATATTAAAGTTTCTATCATTCACATGTTTCAACACCGAGGATCTTTATCTGACTGACTGACTGACTGACCGAACTGATCAATTCATCACCGTAACTGATATTTTCAAAAATCGAGAGTTTTCTACTGGTTTACCACGGACTGGTAATTGGTTGACTTTAGTTGTTGAGATCCTTCAATGAAAATATGTTCGTCTTTCTTGAAATTGCTTTACATCAACCTAATACTGTATTAAATCAACAAATTCTGAATAAAATGATTCATTAGTTAGACTATCATTCATGAACGAGCCAATGAGGTATAAGATAACAGGTCTTGGATTTCGGAGCGAGTTTCATTCATCCAATTGACTGAATAGCGTTTTATCACTATAGCTTATGTCAGTTCGTAATTAACCCCTATTGCCTATTGCCTACTAATCTATCGAAGAAATAAGTAGTATTGTCATGTAATTTGAAATTTCTTAAAGAAATTCATTATTTGTGCCGTTTTATCGTCCCTTTTATTCTAATGGTAACTATTCCATTCAGATTAGGTTTGCTATTCAAAACAAAAATTTTCTCTAGAAATAGCCGAATTCCTCTTCCTCTCAGTGATAATATATATCAGTCCCTTTTGGAGTATTCTCATTTTTCTGAATCTTACAGATTTAGTTGTACCACTATTCATATAATTACTTAAATGAGGAGTGCTACTGATTTTGACAGATATAAGTAGTATGTATCATCAATAGAAAGTGAAATGCCTAGTGGCAGAAGGCTAAGAATGTTCGAAGAGAAGAGAGTTTGGATGGAGAATGAATGGTGTAATGATAATGATGATGCTCACTGCTGATGAGTCCTACAATGGGACGAAACGGTCGTTCAATACTTCGAGGTTTCGCATTGTGGTCTAGCTTCAATTGACTCATGATCTCAACTATTGCATTTACTATACTATGTACAAAAACCTTCTGATAGATGTAATATATTATCCATAGTTTGATAAATGAATTGTGATAAATACAGTTTAGTAGGATTTTGTTGACTCCCCACCTCACTCCAGTTTCTTAGGTTCTGATGGCGTCGTCACTTTGTCTCATTTGAAAAGTGTTAGAATTGTCCGAGTGAAACGAATGTAAAATAAAACTAAACGAATAATAGAAATGTAACACTTCAACTCATCTGAAGTTCTCTTAGTTAATCAAACGATGTTTGTCTTTTCTTAATCCATATTTATACAGAATAATTGAGCAATACCCAATGCTGTTTTAACCCAGTCTTTAGCGTTGACCGTATTCGACTAACGTTTAAGCAACTAGATATCAAGCGGACCAAGATGAAGTATTATGTGGTTGGAAGTAGTCTTTCTTAAGTCTACATGAAGTGTTAAAAGCTAGATAGTTACGTAATGGATTATGAAGCTGGATGACTTGGTTCAAAACCTCAAAGGAACTTCAATACCCTGAAGGTGATAGATATATCTTAGTGATGAGTGTTAAATAACATGAAACGTAATTGTGTAGTTATCTACTAACTACCTTCAACTACTCAACATTCATATTTCTTTATTATATTTATGGAATCGGAATAAATGCTCATCACTATGATTGAATGAATCACTATTAGAACATTTATTATTGAGTGTTATTTTGTCTTATATTGTTCACCAAGATAAATTACAACTATCGCCGTCCACCTAAATAAACTTTGTATTTACATTACTTCCGATAATGTCCAGGCCATCTAAAAAACATATAATCTCTCCTGATGCCTATAGCACCTGCAAAAGATCTAAGTCAGTCACTAAAGCGAATAATGTGAAACCTTATAAACACACTGATCAGTCTGCATCCTACTCTGATCTTCCCTCACTCACACTAAACGTGCATCGTTTACTTGGACAAGACATATCACTACCTTGCATCTCGCTTGTCGATATAAATAAGAGCAGTCACATACCGTTAGAGTCGACATCATTTGTCAGTCCAAACAAAAGCATCACATGTTGTGAGCAGTATTTAGACAGTGCTGTTGACCCCAAACACCCAGCAATCTCACAATCGGCCATCCTGAGTAGCGGCCCACGGAGTACATGTAAGCCTGCCTACAATAGCCAGCCCGATGATGTAGATCTTGACTACTCACCCAGACATATACCCCATCCCTCAACTAAGTGTGCACAAAGTGACCATCCGCTAGACACCTGCAACAGGCCTGTATGTAACCATATCGACCTTAAAAACTTTGATATAAACTCCAATAATCTCACCACTGGTAGACCTAAAAGCAGCCAAACAGAACTCAGCCTCACCCAAACTATTCAACACCTATTACCGTACAAATATTTAATCAGTGTTCCAGAAAATCCTGAACTGGAAATTATAAAAAACACTGAAAAAGTAATTGACCATATATCAACTGAAGTGTTCAAAAGACTTCAGTGTATGCAGAATGTCGTTGTGTATAATATACCTGAGAGTACCAACATAAAGATTGCTGAAAATACTCTACTACAAGAATGGGGATTGTCGCAATCTTGGTGTGTAACAAGAAGATTACGTAAAGCACACACTAAAGCCTCCTGTCCCATTCTATTTCAGTTTGGTAGTACCACTGAAGCTAATCACCTCCTCAATAGTCAGTCATTACTGAGGCGTATTCCAACATTTAAAAAGATTAGGACCATTCATGGCAGGACCGCTATCCAGAGTCGAATCTGCAATCGAACACAAACTGATCAACCCAGCTTACGTAGCCGCGGCAGCTACAGCTCTTGTCACTGCACAAGTCCTAAAATATCATACACTGCCCCCCCCCAAAAAAAAACGGAGGCATGTCGGACACTGCTATTAGTCCTAAGGACAAGACCGCACATAAAGCAGCTACAACCACTCACCCTCAGCCCAAACACTCAGCTACCCCAAAATGCCAAACCACTTATGCCTCAATAGCGTCCAAGTATTACCCTAGCGGCCCCTATAAAATGCCTAAAAATGATCCTCCCAGGCATTGCGCTAACAGCTACAGACTCTCAGACACCGCTGTACAAAATAATACCGAACTCTCCGTAAAAACCCACCAATACTCTAGCACCCCCAACCCAAAACATGCACCTTCTCATAGCAATAGAATGCCCTACAACAAACATAGTGAACTGGCAACACCAACTCATCCTAATGTGAAACGACACTCGACAAGAACCACACCCACACGTGATACCCATAAGTCATTTAGTGTCAACCTTGTATGCCCCAGGAACCAACACAAAACTATACACAAGAGAAACACCTCTCTTGGCAACAATAACAGGCATTCCTTACCAGAAACATACAACCTCCCCAACTAACCACAATAGGACTAAAATTGCCCACCGCACACAAGGAAGCCATAACGTTGGCCTACTTGGGAACCCACCTACTGATTCTAGGTACTATCTAAGTCAAGCCACCCAATACAACGGTTTAGTCCCCCCTAATTCGACATACACACTATCTCATCCTTTTTTATCTCTCTCCCCCTCAACATTACTGCTATGGGGTCTCCAAATGTTGAGGGCGACAATCCCACTATTCTGAAACCATCTATATACTCCGATTTAATGGCAAGTGGCACATCCTACTCAACTTCGATAACTGTCTCTAGTCTTGAAAACTCCTTGACTGAACCCCCTGATCATTCCCCGGACACATTACCTAACCATTCAACTCTACCTTCCACTCTTAGACATACTTCTTTCACCAAAACCACACCCGACTACCCTTCTTGCATTAACCCTACTGGTAATAAACTAAACGCTCATCAATATGGAGTCAACGCTCCCAATTCTTCCTTTTCTCATGGCAAAACAGACAAACCACTGGGTTTACATCATACCCTTCTACTAGACAAACAGTCACCGTACCTGACACTTATGTTAATCAACGCTCGATCTGTACAAAGTAAGATGACTTACCTACGCACCCTGTTACTTCTAAACAACCCCTCACTTGTTTTGATAACGGAAAGTTGGCTGTCCTCCGATACCACAGACACATATCTACAAATAGACACCTATGAGCTCTTTCGCTGTGATCGAGTCACCAAGAATGGTGGTGGTTGTCTCGTTTATGTATCAAAAAATTTGAGAGCAGAAATCTATAGCGACCACGTCCTCAACAAACTTCCTGAATCGATATGGCTTACTGTGCACACTCATGAGTGTAAAATACTAATCGGATGTATATATCGAGCTCCTAACACTCCTAGTTCAACTGGCACTATTATAAGTTAGTCATTTGCTCAGGCTGCCTCGCTTCACTTCACTTACAAAATTGTATGTGGTGACTTCAGCCTTCCCACCATCAACTGGAAAACACATTCTGGCCCATTGTGCTTTGAAAGCATACTTAGGTC